AATTTAAAATAAAAATGTTTAATTTTCTTAATTATGTTGCCTTCTTAGGGAAATCAATGTGTAGTAAAATTACTACCATTCACAAGTTCAAGTAAGATTCTAGTAGTCTTGATTCTAGTTGTAGCCTTTGGGTACAAAATATAAATAATAATTTTTGATATTGAATTTTAATTTTTTATATATTATTTTTATTTATAAATTATTTATAATCAATTTAATACTCACTAAAATTCAGTAATTGCTTTAATTAGAATTTTAAATTATAATTAATTTTTTATGAATTAACTTTAATTTATTAATTTAATTTTTATTAATGATATACATAAAAATTTAATTTCAATTCATTTTAATTTGGGTATTAATGATCAGTATCAAGATATTTAAATAGGATCAGATAACAATTAAAATTTTAATTAAGAATTTATAGGGTTCCAGTACCTATCAAATAATAAGATTAGGATTTGCGTACATAAAAACTAACAAATACATTATCTGTTAGTATCCTTATGTTTTCCTTTCTCCATAAACTTTTATTTTTATTCTGCCTAATTAATTCAAACTTTTTTAAATTAATTTTGTTTTTCTTGACAAGTTCTAATAGACCCGAAACCCGAAACCCTATTTGGTTATTCCTAAGAAATGGTAGCGACAAGATTTTTGCTCGAGTCACTTCCTGAAACCCAGAGCCATGAACTACAGAGGCCATGCAGCGACCTGAATCTTGATTTTGTTGTTGCAATCTCCAGTGTTATTGCTTATGAAGTAACTCTATCCCTTCGCAAGCACAATCTGATCATGCCCTGATTGATATGCTTTGAAATTAGACCCCTAGTGTGCATGTTTCATAGCTGACTTGGTTCACTGATGTCACATTGTGGATTGTTGGATCATAGTTGAACACTGCAAAAACCAGATCAGATATCTTGTTTTATTTTCAATTTGATGGTTAAATTATTTTTTAAATTTAAATAAAGTAAATTAAAATAATATTATTTGAACTGAAAAATCATACATTAATTATTAAATCAAATATTCGAATGTTTATCATTTCAATATGATATTTTCAATTGAATTCTGAAACAAGCCTGTAGGAGGAAATGGTTCTCACCAACTATGAACATCACCAGGCAAAAACTTCTTCCCGTTAGTCCAGTTTTCAACATTGAAGGACCAGCCTTTAGAAATTATTTCAAAGACTCTTGGCTGTGCCATTTTTTCTGTAAATCCTCGAACACAAGGTCAAGAACAAATTATGGAGGAAATATGGATGGTAGCCACATCTTGGGTTTTTAAAGAAATTACCAAGTAAATCAAAATGTAATTTGAATTCCTGATGATTTAGTCATAAAGAATTTTTTTCATATTCTACCAGGGCTTTCCACAGGAAAATAAGAACAGAAAGCTTTTACATAAGTTCCTGGAGAGGAACTTTAAGGATGGAGCCTCAGTCCTTTTCCTGAAATCATCTTGGTATGAAATTCTGAAAGTAAGGCTGAAAACCTGAAGTCAAAAGTATTGTTTTGAAATACTAATCTGTGTAAGAATTAAGCAATCTTTGACTCACATGGGTGGTTTAATAATTTTCCTCACTCCACTAGTCCACTTAAATATATGGGAAAGAAGAAAAAAAAGAAAGTCTCCACAGATCCACTAGTTAAAAAGGGTTAAATTAAATATCCGGTGTTTTAATTACAACAATATTATCGATTTGATACTGGAAAAAAATTTACAATTAAGTACTTTTAACATTCAGGCTGTACTTTTGATTAACTGATTAATCAAATAAGTGATAGCTTTAAAAACATTAATGATTGTTAAACTGTGAATTAACAATTTAAGTTGAATATTTTCCAGGGGATATATTCCTTCATCTCCTGTTATTTCTTGTAACAATCAGTGATGCTTAAATTGATGAAGTTAGATCTGATGTTCAATGGAAGGCCCTGTATTTCTCATTCAAATGCCTTGGGAGTTGTGAATATGCTTTGTTTTTTTCTACAGAAACAGCACTTAATGTTTATTACAAAAGAAAGTACAAGTAAACCATAGCCACAAATATATTACACAAGATTTCCATTTAACTATATACTACTATGATCATAATATATTTTATATGGACCAGCAACTACCCACTCAAACAAAAGCAAAGACTAACATGGAAACTAATCATCACTTTGAGTCTTGACACAAACTAGCACTAGTACTGACTTTTTGACACCAAAGTGCAACATTAATACATAAAGTTGATAAAGCAAACTGATCAACCCAGGACCCTGGCTGATCTCAGATCAGGCAGCAGTGATTGCTATTTTCATTCCAGCCTGACAGTGCCCAACAAAGTTGCAGAGGAAGAAGTTTTTGCCCTTTGCAAGCTTGATCTGATCCTTGCCTGACCGGAAAACTTGAGAACCTTTTGGTGTTGTGCATGATTTGTATCCGGCCTCGTTGACAGCTACCACATTGTGGATTGAAGGGTTGTAATTGAATACTGCAATAACAAACACAAAATTTGGGCTAAAACTGTCAGTTCTCAGTTAATGATGCATGCAGCAATTACCCTATTGTGGTCTGAAAATGGTTTGTTTGATGAGTTACGCTTTTCAATTTATTGAATGTCTTCAGAGTTTCAGAAAGATGTTGACAAGTTTTTGATGTTAATGACTAATACATTAATGGCAGTACATTCATGTACAGAGATGACCCTGGAAAGGAAACTATTTTTACACTTCTTTTAGTTATACTTTTCCCATTTCAACCACAAAAATAACACTAGGATCCATTGCCAGAAGGTAAAAGCTACTAGTTAAAAGTAAATTTGTTGTGAGGATGGATCAGAGTAACTGAAAAACATTATTTCCCTAGGACCATCTCGGGCACAACACATCATAAATTGGAGGGTAGGCAAAGGTGTCTACCAAGGTGGTCTGGCCAACATCCCATCAACGTTCTTGGAGTTCAACATCATTGATGCTAAACAAGATACATGGTGAAAAAACATGCAAGCTTACCAAGTGTGTCACCAGCCTTAAAGCGCTTGCCTTTAGGCCAGCCAGAGGTGTTAAAGGTCCAGCCATTGGATCCCCCAACAGTGTAAGTTGCTGCTTGAGCCAACTCAAAATGGAGCAGCAACAAGCACAGTAGCACCGTGGCTGCCGCCATCGCACTGCCTCTTCCCTGAGCCATTTTCTGTAGAACTAGGAAAGCAAGGTGTAAGTAAGCACACTGAGATTTTAGAAGATCTGAGCGAGGAGATAAGCTAAGGGAAGTGTGCCTTTATAATGGGTTTGTCGTGGTATACTTGGGGGTAGGGCCCATGCTTCTTTGAACATGTCTACCGAAATAAATGGGTGCTGTCAGTGCCATAAAAATGGGTTTGAATTTGTTACCAAACGTGGCATTCTGTCTGTCTGGGTTTGGCTGGTTGCATGATGAGGAAGACTTTGGCAGAAAGATTTCTTTTTGTTTTGAGTGCTTTTTGCTATTGTTAGCATCATCAGTCCTCATTGCCAGCGAACTCAAGCATTCAATTACAATAAGAAGTGTTTAAAGCTTTTCCAAATAAAAAAAAATGATGATTGTAAATCCAGTGTTGGAACTCTGATAAAATTGTTTTCATCGAAACAAAAATTGATGAAATTTTTGTGATTATATTTCGAGAAGAAAAAAGAGATTTATTCGACTAAATAATAGGACATAAATGTGGTATGGTTTAATAAATATACTCTTATATATTAAAAAAAGAAAGATTTGAGGTTTATGCTGGTAAGTGAAAATTATATATCAATTATTGAATTAAATGTTTGATGTATGTTTTAATATGATTTTTTTATGATAATTTAATAAAATTAAATTACGTAAAATTATTTAAAATGACAGAAACAGGTTATAAAGTTTGCCAGCTGGTAGGTTTTGGTTCAATTAATCCATGATGTGGAGAAGCAGATAATTACAGGATTAATTCCATTATAAATTAAGCGTCTTCTTCCAATAGAGGAAGCCAACAACCCACCCCACAACAACAACTATGATTTAACTTTTTGTGATCCAACACCACAACTTCCACAGATTTTCTGCAATGACTGAGACCCAAATGTCAGAAATTCTTAATTTAAATAATTTGACAATGGCAGTTACCTGTTGAAAAATTTGCCCCTTTGCATTAATCTTTGTCTTTGTTCAACGTTGGGAGAAAGAGGCACACGTCACTGCAAAGCCTTTTTTAGGTGAGCTAGCCCATCACTCTTACCTCAACACGGCTCCCATTTTCTCCTTTTAAACTACTAACACCATTCTTACTAGTAAACTTTTTTACAGTTCCATGGTTCTATGACAACAGGCAGATGTACTAAGAACACTTGTTAGACAATCCTAGGGCTTGGACTTGATGGTTCACCTACCCTGGTAGGAAGGTGGAATTCTCACAGGCTTGGAGTTTTAATCTCAGTAAAAGGTCAAGAATTTTTCAACTTCATTGATATATTAAAAATCATTGAATCTAAGACAAGCAAAGCATTATTGTCTAGGAAAAATGTTAGCGATAGCCATCCATACGGGCTGGTTCAATTGATAAGAAGAAGAGTTTACTTTTCTTACAGTTGAGATTGGATATTATGTCGAGGGAGTACATCTCTGAAATCGTCAGCATGATTGTCTGCTCCAAAGGACACGTTAGAATGCGAAAGGCTAGGCGTAGAATCCTCTTGTCTGTTACGATATTGGGACACATTAACTTCAGCGCATGGGATTGTTCTCTCTTTAGTTGACTCGGGTTTTCCTCACTTTGTTTTGGCTCCTCTTTGTCACATTGTGCGTCATTCTGACTTAATTATCCCATCTACCAGGGACAAGAGGATTAAAGATTATTGACAATGAATTGCATTGAAGGATGGGTCCAACGTCAAAGGTGATTCCGCACAAAAGTTCTATTCCAAGTTTATCTTACATTGTATTACCAATCTCTTCCTTGAGGATCTTCACAGCTTTTGAAACTCCATCCTGAATATGAAGAAATAATTTTCGGAAAATCTCAGTACCCCAACACGATGCTCATCCAACAAACTATAAATTTAAAAGAGAGAGAGAGAGAGAGAGAGAAGTAAATCTGCAGAAATTGCCCCAAAATCAGGGTGGAAATGGGTAGGAAATGGGGCAGTAGATGTCTATAAAACAAGTTCTACAATATGAAGTTTTACAAGTTCTTGGAAATGCTGATCTGCCAGTCAACCAGGAGTCAATCTAAAAGATGAAAAATTAAGAAAAAGGTGAACATTATCTAGCAACGATTATCAGTGCTGTTGCATCCGGGCTAGTTTTTTATGTAGTATCACCAATTAATGTAGAATCATAATGCACCAATGACGATGATAACCGTGGATAACATAGAGAATTGATCTCAAAAGAGAGATACATCACTCAAGTAAATACACTGGCATTCATTTATGGAGTTATTCACTACTAATCTCTTACCATATGCCATAGATTATTATCAATGCTGTTGCACTCGGGCTAGTCTTTTATACAGTATCACCAACTAAATGCATAATGCACCAACAACAATGATAACTGTGGACAACATAGAGAATAGATCTCAAAAGAGAGATGCATCACTCAAGTAAATGCGTTGGCATTCATTTATGGAGTTATTCACTACTAATCTTTTAACATAATTACCTGCACCTCTATGGAACAAATTCTGAAGTTCAATGGAAACAGATTTAAACACCTAGAAGCACCAGCAAGTAAATTGAGTATGAAAAGTTAAGAGACTAACTAACAAGGCATGACTCATGCAGTGCAATTTCCAATACTCATCAGCTTTGATTAGAAGATTGGACCGTAAAACGTGTATGACAATAGGCAGCCATTACCTCAAGAGAAATCCTTTTTCCAATTTCTAATGCACGTGCTTTAACTCTAGGAGATAATGCATCATCTATTGCTTGTGACAGTACTTTTGCAGCAACCCTGATGCTTGTGTCACTATCATTTTCTGGAACCAGATGGTTTCTTCTCAGTGGTTCTGGAGCAACTCCAAGCCAAAACATTTTTTCTGCCCAGTAGAATTGATCCAGCATAAATGGACATAGTATCTGCCATCCACTGATTGTCATTGAGGGAGAGGAGTAGGGAAGGAAAAGGATAACAAATACCAATACCACGCACACACACACATAAATATAAATACAATTATTTAGAAAGGATGTTAAGGAATCTGCTGTTGCAATCCATATAAAATGCCCATTAACTTTATGTTAGATGTCCATAATTGCAAGGAACAATTATTATTTTTGAATAAGTGCAAGGAAATATTTTTTTGAAATGCTAAACAGAAAAAAAAGGACAAATCTAACAATGACTGAGATCAGTAACAACGAAAATATACTTGAAAGGGTTTACCATGCAACTGACCTGAGGGACACCAGCATATAGTGCTGCAGCAGTGGATCCACTAGTTTTCCATTGAAGACAAGCAATGCAACTTATGAACCAAAACTAACATCTGCTGTGCATTAACTGAAATAAATATCTTCATAAAGAAAACGAAATATGATGGAGAACACTCACCTCCCTCCATGATGAATTGCAGCTAGACATCTTGGGAACAGCCAATTGTATGGTATCATACTAATTACATGATAAGAAGACAAGTAAATTTCCACATAAAAAAATGTACAACGCATTTATGTTATTTTTCCATTTTGTACAAGAAGAGAGGGGGAAAGTTGAGAAAACTACATAAGATGTCATATGCCATAAAATACTACTGAACAAAAAAAAAAATGCCATAAAATACTTTATGCAAAATGTCAGGTTTCAGCAACATCCAAAGGTCTTATTTCCCACTTAGAAACACTCAGGTCTGTATCATTAAGATTTTGAAAAAATTGTGATCCATGAATCTCACAACAAGCTTTTTATTACTTTCCAAATGAACAAATCTTCATGTGCAATCTTAATCTTTTTCTACTATCCAGATAAAACTAGAAATACTCACCCTGAAAAGCAAAAGAGCCGGCTGTCAAAAAGAGATATCCCATTTTGAATCAACTGTCTTTGGTTTGAAAAAGAAGATGCTTCACAGGCAACTTCCTGAACTGCTGATTCTAATGGTTCATAGCCAGCTGTAAAAAGGATAAATCTGTAACATGTAGTCTCCAGAACAGTTTGTATAATACGTACAAATGCTTGAGGATTCCTTATAAATCCCATGCTGCAAACAGCAAAAAAACACAGCACTTAGTTCAGGAAAGAAACAGAAAAGGAACTCAAAAGCTATCATCATCATTGAGTCATAAAACAGCAAATCCACACAGATGATAGGATCATACACATTATAATTCCAACATATTGTGTGTATCAATCCAAGTTCTGTCTTTATTTAGATTAAAAAAAAAAAGGAAGTTCCACAAAACACCAAAATGCAGTCGTAACCAAAGTGCTGAGAGAGATAAAACACGCTTTCTACAGACAGCTAAGGTATCTAACAGGTTTATGAACCTACCTTCCAATAGAACTCAGCCCTATAAAAATAGGTGGTGATGAGAAAGGAGTCCTTAGAAAAAATCGTAACTCAGAATGAACTGAACACATGTCATCTGTGGTCAGATGCCCTGAGGAAAGCAGTGTTGATATTTCTCCACATTCCTTGCAGGAAAACTGCCACTCGATAGGGAGAAACCAAAAGCCACAAACCCGGGTATTTGATGGCCAATAATCTGTTAACACATGGATACCATAAGCAATGCAAATATAAGGAAGAAGAAGCAAAACAGAAAACAGGATACGGTTTTACTGATGGGGCTCAGTTTTACTTTCAACCCTCCTCATTCTTTACAGAATCAACTAGTTAACAGAAAATCTGATCACAAAAGCCACTCAAAAAAATTTAACACCTATGCACACCGTAAAATGTTTCATAGAAAAAGACTGAAACAAGAAGCAGAGAAACTTAGGAGTTACCAGGGCACTCAACAATTTCTTTGCTAAACCCATACCTGTTACATAAAAGTACTTGATAATCAGAGAAGAATCCCCATGTATTAATCTAATATTTATAGTCCTTTCATTTATAGAATTCCTCTGTGAAAAGGCAGACTTACAATAGTAGGGGAGATGGTGGCCTATCATGCCAAGTAGGAAGACCTGTTACTGGATCCTGCTCAGAGTATCAAACGCAGTCTCAAAATTAGGTAGTTTTAAACTGTATAATGAGTAAATGGACTCCAACTATATAGAAAGATACTAACTGTAAAAGGATAAGGACTCAGGTTCAAATCTTCACTTCTCCATGACTCCCAATTTTCACTAAAAAGTGGCCACATCCAATGAATTACATCTTTCCAACAAACCTATGATCATACAACAATAAGAAGTTCATATACATGATGCAAGAGTCAAACCTATTTAAATACAATATGGAAACAACGAAAAAAATATTTATCCTTTGGGCTCTATCAAAGTTCAAAGGAAACACATTTGATTTGTCAGAAACACTTAAGTTATATGATTTAACTACCTTGTCAGTGGGAGCTTCCTGAAGATATTTATACAAAAGAGGAAGTTCTTTTCTGAAGTGACGCTCAAAGGATGAAGGTGCACTATACAATAAATTACGTGAACAAAAAATAAGAACATCAATAGATGGCTCTCAAATATATAAAACAGAACACAGACCGACCAAAATCCATTGGGACAAAATCATAACATCAACTAAACTATCTGCACATAACTCAGTACATCAAATAAGTTGCCCAAAAAAGTGACAATTTACTAGAATCTATGAGGCACCGAAAAGCATTCGGTTCTTTCATTTTCTTTAGATAACCACATTCAACAAAACCAATCAATGGAACCCTCATCCCAGGGTACTAAAAGACCTTTTGCATTATAGCTGTCCAGTCACCAAAACAAAGAATAATAAGTTGATAACTTGGAGAGTTCAGTTCTTAAGACTTAAGATAAAATTGTTTCCCTTACCTATAAGGAACAACATAAGGAGCAACAACAACACAAGGCACACGAAAAAGTTCTGCAAGGCTCCACCCTTCCTGATGAACAATTATGAGAAAGCAACCTTAAAATGAAATTGCATCACAACACCCCACAAGTCTTAAATTTCAATATATCTAGCAAATCTCAACAGAGAATTACAATTGTTCATTATATTAGTACGTGAAAGTACCAACTTATCAAGCAAGTTAATTATGAATTGTAATTTTTTCCAATAAGAAATACCAAAGCGAAGAAATTTATCGCAATAAAATCACCCTCCAAGCTTGGACCATCCCCGAAAATCCTTTCCACCGCCGAGTAGCATTCTCGTCTGTGTTCTTTTCTAATAATCCTTTTCTGCTCCGAAAATTCTATTCCCTGTGAGCCTGACAAGAAATGATCAATCAGCAACTAAAATAGAGATCAAAAGGAAGCGACCAAACTAAACCAAACCAGACCAAACCTGTCTTATCATCGGTTCCGTTACCAGAAAGAACCGGTGGCGATGAAATCAGAAGATAGACAACATTCTTTTTTTCTAGATGAGAAATTAGATTCTACAAGGGAATTAACCAAAATTTATTATTTTTGCTTTTATTGCAAAAAAAAAAAAAGGAATGGAAATGTAACTGTAATTAATCAGTAATTAAGACTTGGAAGGAAAGAAGAGGTTGAAGGACCTCATGTGCTGAATGAGTGATGAAAACGACGTCGTAACCGTTCTCGTCAGCAGCGAAAGCTGCAGCAATGGCCTGGAATCACCAACCAGTAAAATTGAAACTGAAAATTGTTTACCTTTGTCTACGCCAATTCAAATATTAAAAGAGCTAAAAAAAAAAGAGTAAATTTATTTTATTACAGCGACAGGGTAGACGTCGCCTTTGGTACCGAAAGCCATGAAAACGGCATTTCGTTTCGTCCTCTCCGTCGTCGGCGCCGTCTCCATCTCTCCCTCCATTGCTGTTGTAGTAAGCCTCCGACGGTTTTTTCAGTTTTCATTTTAGTTTCCCGTTTTTCCTTCTGTTAAATCTTTTGGGTTAAACTGGGGCTCAGCCCAAATTGGGAATTTATTTAGGTCCAAAAGAATGTTTGAGCCCAGAAACTTGGATTATAAACAAATCCAAGCGGAATATTTGGGCTTGAGCCCAAATCTAACTTATCTTTCATCTTCCGCATGTTTGATTATCAAGAAAAAACATGAATTTAAGTTGACATTGGAAAGATAAATTTCTTCTTGGCCAACAATTCCAAACTTGTGCTGATGAAAAGCTCAATTCCTTAGCCAGCAAAAATGGTAATCAGTATTATACTTTCATTAAAATTGAGAGAATTTGCCTGGTTTACTTTTGCATGGAGGGTGCAAAACTGGACATTAAGCAGTCATCTAACATATATATGCAACAAAATTATATCAATAGATGTGAGAAAAAATTGAGTTCAATTTGTCATTGTCAAACAGATGAAACAGAAAAAGCATCCTCAGACATGTAAAAGAACTTGAAGTTTCAATGTATTAGTGTTCTCCCCGACCCCATTCTTCTTTTTATCTGTGTGTCGAAAACTGAAGTATCTTAGGTACAAAACTGGTGTATATTTATCTCAAAGCAAAAAATTATGTATGCTTCTTGCCTTCTGGGAATAGTATCACTGCCATCTATCCTGTTTTCATATCTCTTGTTCCTCTCTTGTCTAGTCGGCTAAGGCTGTTGGTAGGTCACTTCCTCAAGGCAATCTGGGGTGTATTTTTCCATGAGCAGGGTCAATTCATTTTCAAATCCTTTCTCAAGCTCAATCAGCTCCTCCCAATACCTCTGTGTGATTTCCAACCTACTGTCTTGATGACTTTTCATCAGCTTCTCCCTCTCTGCATCGAATGCCTCCATCCTTTTCTCCTCGATTATCACGGACCTCGCATTTTCTTCCATCTCTGTAGCACTGAATGTTCAAAAAATGTTGAAAAGTCCTTATCAGGTTATGACTGTAGAATGAGATCAACAAGTTTGAGTTTCAACCAAATGAGACTCCATGAATGTAATTTGTAAAAGCAAGTAGCTCGTTTTCCTTCTAAATGGTCACAAATATTGCCTTTGATAGACAGAGCAGTAGCAGGTCAGCAGAAAACAAAAAATTGTCAATAAGTTCCCAAGTTAGTATGCATTGAAATTGTCTGTATGTATAGAAATTTCATCTCAAAATAGATAAACGTCCATTACAGCATCAAGGAGGACATTTATGAATTCTCAAATAAAACATCTTGAAGAATAAATTTAGCTTGGCATGTCCCATAGTTACCTGTACTCAACTTCATTACTTGTTGAATTTGCATTTGACTGCTTAACTCTCTCCCTTGCTGCCCTCTGCAGCTTCTCAAAATTATCTTCCTTAGAGTCTATGGCTTGGTAAATGATATTGATTTTCTCCTTAAAGTATTGTTCTTTGGCACCCAACTGGAAATTAAAGCATTGCAATAACAAGTTAAAAGAATTCAATGTCAATTGAAACATATCAAATAGCTACAAGGAAGAAATATCTGCTATAGACCACTGCAATTGCAGCAATATTTAGAAGCCAGGTTCAAGTCCCACAAGAAGTGTTTCTCTGGGAGAAGAGGAAGAAGAAGATTCATGTACCTTGTCCCAACTGTTTAACATAAAGCTTTGTTTGATTTGTTCATTTAAGAGGGTAAAACAAAAGCATGTTCATGCTCTACACTGACTTCTTAAAATTAACCTAAGTTCAGTTTCCCTACAAGTTATGGTAGAAGCAGAACAATAATAGCAATACCATCCACCAATTACCATCACAGATTTACCAATTTGTGAAACATGGAAAAGGTTGTTCTAGGGCATCCTTTATGTCCTAACTTGTTGACCATGATTGGCAATAAAAGTAGAGGAATACAAAGTTCTGAAAATGCAACCTCTTCTCTGTTCCGCTCATGCTGCAATCTAGTTCGCTGCCTCATAATATAATTTTCCTTTGTTGTCTGGCGCAGCTTCTCACTCAATCGACCTAGAGACTCTGCAAGGGCTTGTGAGTGCTGCTGTTCTTGAGCAACCTTCTTTTTAAGTCGGGTAAGCTGCTGACTATCATCATTTATCTTCTTTATCTGGCTCTCAACCATCTTTTGGTATGATTTCATCTCAAATTTCAGCTTGGACTTTCCTGCTTGATCATAGAAATTATCAACCTTGACTGCATAAGAAAATTACATTGACACTAGAGAGAGCAAATATTAAATGCAAGGTTACTGGCCATTCTTAGTAAGATAATAGTATGTTTTATGGCAAGGCCACTTTATCCCAAATGAGAATAAACTGTCATGTGGTGGATTAGGAGTTCTTTTGAGATTTAATCCTTTCTCCAGACTCAAGTGAGGTTCCTACTATCAAATTCATCAAAATTTTGGAACGGGAATGAAGCCAAAAGGAAAAGAAGAATTATAAATCATCACTTCCAAGTTTGCAATGACACTGAAAGTTTGCAATCTTTATATTAACACAGTAATATTTCCACAGCAATCAGAAATGGCCAAGTTTCAGTTGAATAATTTGTATGACATATTCTTTTCTCATTTTGCTTCTCAGGAAGTCTTGTGTTTGAACCTATTCATTTGACCTGTAGCTCTCACAAGCCACCTTTATTGTCTTGCTAAACACGTAAATAACAAACTTCTGCACAAAGTACCATGTAGTTTTTTTTTGGGGGGTAAAGGAGAGAGAGAGTGATTAGACCTTGAGAGTGTCGGTTAAATATATCCAAGTCTTCTTTAATGGCAATGTAACCGTAGAGTTGGCGCTTCCCACCTGGACAGAATGGAACCCGAGAACAATCCCAAGCATCCCTATCTCTCCCTTGCTCTTTAAAATGTTTATGCAGACGTGCAGCCTCTAAATACCCTGCTGCCGAGCTCTCAAAGATCAAGACACTCATCCCCCGGTGCCCTTGTGGACCATATGAGTGTCTTGCTTTTACTGCAGCGTATGAGCTGAAGTAATTGAGAAGCTCTTGATTTCCCATTCCAGTCCACTGATGAAATTATAGGCAGTATAAAGCAATCAACAGTATATTAGGTCGAGATATTTACTGAAAAAGCAAAGTAAGCCATGTAGCATTTTCTTCGGATTGCTTTTACAATTTAAAGTATGAAGAAATAAATGAACCAGTAAGTATTAGCTCCCATTCTTACCTGAAACCAGGAAATATAAATTATAATCTATCTCCAAAAGCAAAGATTGATAGCAGGAAAGTACCTTGCCATTTTCATCCTGTTCATATCTTGTATTCATAATGATAACCATTGGAGGCCAAACTATTTCATGATCTGCAACTCTATTATTCAGCCCTTCCCATCTGCCAAATGCATCATTAACTGGTTTAATGAAAGTTCCTCTCCTGCGCATCTCCTCAACCAAAAGTTCTGCAAACACTCGATGCATCTTTGCTCTCCGTGTTGTTTTAGTCATGGCATGAGTCATTAGGGGTTGCACACCTCGATACCAGTTGATGGCTCCTGGCCCGCCTTGACAAGCTGGGCAGTGCCACTTGTGAACTGGTGAAATAATCTCCTCAACAGTCAGTTTCTCTAAAATCTCAAAAAATCCATTGAACCATTTGCTCTTCTTGCGTGTTTCATGACTCTTCTCATCTTCATCCGAATCAGACTCATAGTCATCGAGATCATCACTATCATAAACAACATCAGAGCCATCATAATCACATTCATTACCTCCATTCCTGTCATCAGAAATATCACGAACTTGGTGGTCAGTTTTTACTTGACCATCCTGACAACTATTAGACAAAGTGAAACAAGCTAGAGCAAGGCCATTCCACCCATGCTCTGCAGATGGAGATTCTATACAACTATTTCCCCTTGTTCCATCACCTTGTTGACTCCATGCACCACCATATCCACAGGAATTCAAAGAAACAGCATTTTGAGTTGGCCAGGCATTGCCAGTAGCCTTTTCTGAACCACTACTACTTTGCATTCTAAGTTTCTGAATCACATTTGGATGTCCCCATGCATTAGGAGTAGAATCTTGACGAAACCATGAATTTGCAGCAACTCTGCTTTTGGATTCCCATGAGTTCTCCTTGTCACCGTCCTGTGTAGAAGCTAGCGTGATGTCTGCCACATTCGGACTTACTTGATTAACTTGGCGACTAGAAATTTTATACACACTCCCCAAGTCCGGAAATTGGTCAATAGCATCTGCCATGAAGATTTTTTGAACAATTTTTCCAGAAACTTCTCTCTGTATGAAACCTAGTCAAGGATCACCATATTGAATGAAAAGATTGGTCAATTTTCATATTTCAAGAAATACTTCAAAAGCCTATGTCATAATCAAAACTAAAAGCAGCAAAAGAAGCCTACCAGCAGGTGAACAATGAATATCACACATATGCCAAGTTGATGAGGGCCTAATGATGAATCAATACTAACAATGTGCTTCACTTTTTATCAGGAATATATCCCAACTGTAAGAACTATACGGAAAAGTTATTCTTTTTATCCCTTCTGAGGAACACAGAAGAATAAGACAAAATGCTAGGTTTTATATCAACTATGGTTATTTTTGCCTATAGTTTTACAAATTATTTAATTCAACCATCCATAAAGTAAGGGTCCATATGGGATCTAAATTTTATTTTTTTTTTTGCTCAGTATGTGGGATCTAAATAGAGTCCAGATGAACCATACATTCATGGATGATTGAAATTTCATAATTATATACCATCAAATCATATACAGGAAGTTCTAAATTCTTTAGGCACTAAAACAATAGCAATTTGAAATCCAACTTGGCCAAGTATACAGTATGAACTGAATAAATCACTTTAGGATCAATCAACTAGTTTAATTTAACATAAGGCATACAATCTAATTCCCTTTGTTCTTTGTAAGATTTAAATTTAAACCTACCTCAATACTATCTTTCTGAAGCTGATGAGCAAGGACAAGCAGCAAATTAACTATAGCAGATTAGAACCATTGTAGATAAGTAAAACCCACATTCCTGCAATCAGTTTGGAATCCCCTCGAAGGGTTTTAAGTACTCTTCCCAATCACATAGAAAAACTTTAAAAAATAATGGGATTAAAAAGGAAAAAGCACCATTTTTCATTGCATCGATATGAACAACAAGGTAGTCATCCGAACAGAGAAAAAAAAAAACCTTTTTTTCAGACAGAATATAGCAATGTGAATAACTCAAAGCCCATCAGATGAGATACAAGAAAAAAATAAGCAACTTGATATGATTAAACTGGAGAAAACTAATGACATGCATGGCAAGAAAGAGAAAGAAGAAGACTTCTTTAAGATAAAGAGATTTCACTTTTGAAGAAGAAAAGAAAGGAAGCGGTGGGAATTCTTTACCTGATAGATTGAGGAGTGAAAAGGAGGAGGAGCTGCCTGCGGTGAAACGAAAGCTGTGTTAAAAGTGAGAAAGTGAGAACCATATAAACGGAAGAGGTGGGCCACGAGGTGTGCGGCTCACGCGCGGTGGTGGAGAGTGGAGATGCTAAAATATATATATATATATATATATTAAGAAGAAAAAGGTCGATGTTTGGGCCCACCGTCTCGGTTACCCTGGACACTTGACAGACTCTAAAGAGCAGATAAATGTCGCAGCTTTCGTGCAGAGTCCGTTGGCCGTTGCATGGGCCGGATTTGATATTTTGTTTTAAAGATCAACTTTTTTCCACAATTAATTAAAATATTGTAAAAAAGAATAATAACTTTTTTACAGAAGAGAAATTAAATTAATTTTTTAATATAGATATTTGATATTTTTTAATATAAAAACGTAAAAAAATCATCAAAATAAATTTAAAATTTAAAAAATATATTAGAGGTTTAAAAAGGAAAAAAATTATTTCGAGATTATTTTTTAAAAAAAATGAAGATAAAAAAAAAAGAACAAAATGAGTGTTTATATCGACTTGTTGAGTTAAATCAAAAAATGTGCTCAAATTCCCAATCAAGGTAAAGATAAACTTTTGTCTTTTTTCATATATTTTTCAAAAATTTAATCTTTTTTCTACGACAAATCTTATTAATTGTCAAAAAGTTTAAGATTAAAATGGTTGAATTCAAATTTACATCTTCAATCAAAATCAGCTAATCATTATTTACCCAAAAGCTCAAAAGGGTCCTATTGCAAGATTGACAATTGAAACCTTAAAAGAGGGTTTTCTAATTAGCAAGTGTTTTAACAATATTTTATAAATAATAAAATCTATAATTCATAAATCTTCGTATAACTTATCATCACATTTTCATAAATAACGTTTTGATAAATATCACATTAATTACGATAATATCATATTTTCATAAATAACATTTTGATAAATATCCGTACAATTTTAACTAAACTCAATAATAATAATAATTAAAAAATTTCTCATCCTATCTCTATCGGAAAGCAGTCTCATATGGAACCTTACTTATTGAACAGTGTGTGAAAGATTGATCGTAGCTGGTACAAATCTTTTCACTTCTTTTGTCTAGTAAGTCATGATGTAAATATCTCATTCACCTGATTTATATAAGAAAGGTATGATTCTCACGAAAGAAACCTTTCAGCTGTGAAAAATGTGTGGCACTCATTTCATAGAAGAGAGCTTTCCATTTGCCTCCGCTGTACGCAGCACGTTCCGGCCAGGTTCAGTCATTGTTCTGCTTTCATGCTGAAAAGCACAACCTCGTGCGAACCCTTCGGGTTTTTCCTTGGTTTTTTCTTAGCCTGCTGTCCCCCACACCCGTCGTGTTGTCATCACCTGTACTATAACTAAACCATACATAAATCTATTGGCGTAGGTTGGATTGCAATCTCGAAATTCGAAACTCCAAATTAATTATCAACTACAAATATAGATGCATTTGTATATAATTCAAAGCATATAAATTTATATTTGATATATTATCGATGTATATATTTTAATCAAATCATAATAATTTTATAATTTTTTTACAATCCTCAAAACGAAATAAAATAAAAGACAATAAATTTATAGTTTTAGGTTCGATTTTGATCACGATTCTCAAATCCCGAAATTAATTATCGATGACAAATATACATGTATTCATATATAATTCAAAATATACGAATTTATATTTGATATATTATCATGTATAAATTTTAACTAAGTCACACCAATTTCATAATTCTTTTGTAATCTTCGAAACAAAATAAAGTAAATGTATAGTTTTTGGTTGGATTTTGATCATTCATGTATAATTGACAGCATACAAATTTATATTTGATGCATTATTAGTATATAAATTTTAACTAAGTCATACTAATTTTAAAATTCTTTTGGAACCCTCAAAGTAAAATAAACACTAAATCTATAGTTTTAGATTCGATTTTGATCATGACTCGAACCCCGAAACTCATTATTAACAACAAGTATACATGTATTCATATATAGTTCAAAACACATGAATTTATATTTGATTCATTGTTAGTGTATAAATTTTAACTAAATCATACTAATTTTATAATTCTTTTGCAACTCTCAAAACAAAATAAAGTAAACGACACTAAATCTATAGTTTTAGGTTGATTTGATCATGGCTTGAAATCCAAAACTCAAAACTAATTATCAATGACAAATATGCATGTATTCATATATAGTTTAAAGCATACGAATTTATGTTTGTTATATTGTCCATATATGAATTTTATACACTATCATCCAATCAAATATTATCACATCGTTAATAAATAAATTAAAAATTTGAGAATCTTAAAAAAATAAATATATATAATTTTAAAAATATTTATATTAAAAAACTTAATTTTTGAACTTTTACTTTATAACTTTACGAAGTGATACTTTATGGTTAAGGAACCGCGAATATCATCAAAAATGGTAAGATATATTTTGGTATTAATTCTTTTGTTTTCTTTTGCAAGATAATAATTATAGTGACTCAGAACATAAATGTATGAGCTGCAACATGATTCTTGTATAATTAATTGGCTAGACTCTCAATTTGGAAAGGAATTTAATTAGTAGAATAAATTTGTTGGTACTTAATTAATTAGAATTAATAATTAGGGGTGAAACAACAAGTGTCTAATTCTTCAACTTGCCAGTTGCCATTCAATGTTTAATTTGGTATTAAGTAGAGGCAGTTATCGCTGTCAAATTGCATACGAAACTCTTAACCTTGGCTACCTGCTTCTCAAGAATTTTCTGGTAGAAATTTAACATATATGAATCATGAATTTCCATATATAATTAACCATAACATCTACGATGGCTACCTGCTTTTCCCCTCTAATAATATATATAAATAGACTAATTAGCTTTTATAATCGGAAAAGCTATTGCCCAAATTAGGAAGCAAAGAATTTGAATGATTAGTATAGAGGATGATATGTGATAAGACAATTTTTCCTAAAGACAAAAAATGAGATAACGATGCATTTATTTCAACATCTCCTCCGCTTTGTGCCTGGCCAACACATCTTTGGTTGGTAGTATCAGCATTTTCTTAGTTGGAAAAATAATTTTCTTTCTCTAACAACTTTTGTCAGCTGCTAGATTTTCCTTCAAACCATAGCCAATATTTCTCCGACACCCATTGACAGATGCTTTATAAGCCTAAACCCAAGGCCCCAAATAAGTTAACTTCTCTTCTTCGTCTTCTTCTTCTCCTTCTCTTCAAAAGAAGCAAGGGTGTCTCATAAATGAGGTGAAATTGTGGCATTTGCCACAAATATATAAAGCAATTAATGGAAATTAAACCTAATTGGTAAATTTTCTGTGCGCACACGCACAAAAAAGAAAAAAAACAGACAGGAAAATTGCACATTCTCGACATAATTAGTGGAACCCACAGGAGATTACATTTATTTGGATTCTACCACTTTTGCTAAGTGAAAGAAAAAGGGGAGAAGAACGGTAGTGTTAAGTTTTGGAGAGATGGAAATATAAATTACAGAAAAAGATAAGAAAAATCAGAAAAGTATTTGAGAATATTTTTGAAATAAGATCATTTCCAAGTAAGTCTCTTTCTATGCTTAAATGGATTTTTTTCCTCTCTTTCCAAGTTCCTGCTTTACCCATCTTTTCTCTATTTACAGCTTACCAAACTGTTCATTTGGTGTGTGTGTGTTCATAGGATTTGTAATCTTTTCATTGTTTTTTTCCTTTGGATGATTGGCTTCACAGGTAAATGAAAAAACATGGACCTTGTTGCCACTGTGGGACTGAGAGTGAGTTTCTCCTCTTTTTTTCACTTTGTTCCTATCACATCTATGTTGTTGTGGCCATTAATGAGAACCAAACTCCTTTCTATGATTTTCTGTGTATATTCATACAAAGGCTTAATCCCTTCCCATCACCACATATAAGAAGATTCAAATATAATCCTGCCTGGTCAAGATATACAGGATTGGTGACTGATTAACAGTTCTTCGCCATGTGGTATAGTGGAAAATTGAATTGGCTATCCCTACATTTTGTGCCAAAACCATTGAATTTCTATCAATCATACATGAAATGATGGGAAAAGATTCGGAAAATTGTAATTAGTTTTAAACTCTTTTGCGCGCGTAAATTTAAATTGTTTACAATACGCGTATTAATATATTATTTATGGTAATACTAATATAATCTTAATTTTTCGTCAAAATTATTATTTTGTTTGTTATTAAAATAAATAACGATGCATGTGTGTATTACATTTAAGTATATACGTGTCAAATGTCATAAATAAAACCAAAGCGAAAAAGTAGATATGAAGAATTAAAAATCGAATCTCACTTTTTTTGTAAAATTTTTATGTAAATTTTCACACACCTTCTCACTTGATTGAACACTATAGGTGACCTTCTTCGTCTTTTTAACGAGATAAGTACTTGTTTGGGCACGAACAACCACTATCAATCTTGCATGGCATGAAGAGATAGGTCTATATAGGTGGGTGAAATGCATATAAACTTTTGTTGATAAAATAAAAGAAACTAGACACAACTTGATTAATTGGTTTCGATCGTTTTTCCATATCTTTTGCTTGCTGATAACTGGAATTCAGCCACACCACTTTGGCGAAATGGACCACCTGAGAAGCCTGTATTATGCAATGCATGTGGATCAAGGTACAGGTTAGGAAAACCCCTTGAAAACTATACTCCCAAGAGTGTTATTGTTCTCAGAAAGACGAAGAAACGAAGAGCTATACCAAAGGCAATGGTTACTCGACAGAATAATATTGTGGCAAGCAGTGCCGGCTATGCATCTAACCTGCAACGTTATACAAGTTCAGAGTCTTCAACATCACATAATCAGAATCTTCTCCATATGAATCAACAGAATGGAGCTGAGATTCCAGGTTAGTTATTCACATTTTCATTATCCTCAACTTCAATTTATGCTTACACGGACTCTTCACTTTACTTATAATAAACTCATATCCGACATGTTTTTTATATGCTTTAAAGTTAATATAAACAATTTTCATAAACATAACGTATCCGTGTCTGACAGCTTATCTGAATCCATATAACATATCAGTTTCAACTAATTAAATATATACAACATGTTGTTTGCAGATGAGAATTGGGAAAGTTTATGGGGTTCTCAAGTTCCTTCAAGAAGGAGGTCACCGGTGCTGTACAGTAGGGTTTCATCAATCCAAAAACTTCAAATGGACCTTCACAACATTCTAAGGGACGAAGGTCCTTTCATTGCATCTGAAGGCCCGGAGGATGTGCTCATTTATAATGATAACATCAACAAGCTGCAAATTCCTTCTACTGAAATTGGCCTTGGAAGCATTCTTCTCAAATTTCCTGCTACTGATTCTCAAGAGCAGGAAATTGAGCCATCCTCTTCCAACACATGTGGCAAGCCTTCTGCCTTGAATGATGCTAAAATAGCTTCTCCATCTCTGTGAGTAGCAACCCTTTCTATAATCTTGTTCACTGTTTTGACCAACTTCCATTATGACTTCTCTCAAGAAATATAAGCTAAAATTGATGAGTTTTTGAAGCTGCTGCGTGCTATTTTCCATAAAATTTTGGATTTAATAGTTCAAATGGAGGCAACTAGCAAAAAGAAAGAAACTATATGTCTTGGATTTTTCTTCTTTAGAAGTATATATATGTTTTCGTCGCGTATTTATTTCTTTAAATAGAAAATATATTATACAATGTTTTTGACTTAATTTAACAATTAAGTTATTTATCTTTATCAAAAAATTTAAGATTTAAGGTTCAAATTTTTACCCGACGTCGATTTTCTCATGCATATTATACTATAAAAAAACATAACATTGAAATTTAACCTTAATTTTTTTCAATTTTGTGTTGTCTCTATTCAATAAAACTTTGTATCCAGGGCAAATGCATGCAGTGATGGTGTTGATGATGGCATGCAAAATGAATTGTATGATGATGGCATTCAAAAGGCATGCAGTGATGGTGTTGATGATGGCATGCAAAATGAATTGTATGATGATGTTGATGATGGCATTCAAAAGGCATGCATTGATGGTGTTGATGATGGCATATAAAAAAAAATATTCTCCTATAAAGGTACTGAGGATTAATTTCTCTTCCCTTTTGAATTCCTCGCAGTCAATCTTGTTGTGATTATATGAAATTGATTTCCATGGTTCTTAGTTCCACTGTACTTTGCTCATCAGGAACATGATCGAGGAGCTTCACCGATAATGGGAGCAGCCGACGGCTGATCAAGCATTTGCGTTGTTAAAACAAAGCAAAGGGCCCTTGCGAAAAACCAATTAAGAGCTTGTCTAGCAATTTGGCCAACTGATCTGTCTGATTTATGAACAGAAGGGATTCATCTATGTGTATGTCGCTATAACTGCTTTAATTGTTTGATAATGCCCCCGCCTCATTGTTAGACATAAACCTAATTGTTTGGTATTTTATATTTGATCATAACAATTTCCAATCACATGTGCCATATGGTCCCTATGTGTGTTGTATGTTTCGGAAAACCCATCTTCCAATATAATTAAACCTTTAATTTTCTTCTATCGCTGTTCACAAAAGTTAAAAAAATTTTAAATTTAAAACATGAGTGAGAAATATCAATAATTGTATATATTTTTTATTTAAAAAATCAAGATTCGAATCTTTTTTATTATAAATTAAAAAAATATGAATAGAAGGGTGAATATATTACTCGCCTCTCCCCAACCAAAAAAGGTAGCGTGTACCAAATTAAATCAAGCATGATTTTGATTTGAATGACTTGAGTTTTAAGCTACTCATTGCAAAAGCGAAGAAGGCTTAAAGTATTGGGCCCGAAGTGGAAATTAGAGGGGTGGTGGACGCATTTATATTGAGTGGTTGTGGAAGATATTAGCACTTAATTTTGAAACTTATTTGAATATGACCCGAGACATAACTATTTTCATTCCAGTATAGATATATATATATTTTATAATTGTGTTATTTTCCTCGACTATATATGTCTACATGTTTTTGTCAATGTTTGTGCTTTATTTTGTACGTAATTTAAGCTTATTTCCATGAAAATTTGACTGTCACATTATCAATTATAAATATAACGATAATTGGATAATAAAATGTGTCAAATTTTTAAAATAAATATCTAAAATCAATTGATAATAGATGGAAAAGTCTTTGTTATATTTCTATTTTTGTGATATTTTTATGATTATTTTAATATTTTTTTCTCAAATATAAAAATAACAGACATATCACGTAATGTGAATCAACAAAATAAAAGACTTACGGATGGAATTAATACACATGATAATATTTAACTCCCAAAACTTTAACTAAAAAACTAAGCTAATTAAGGCAAGTGCATGTAGTATCTATAACATATTTGTACAGATAAAAATTGAAAGTGAAAAAAAAAATTAAACTATAAATATGCAATTCTATATTAATATAAGTTTGACTTTTGTTGTAAAAATTTTTAAAAATTAAGCATGCAAAATATATTTTGAGATCTTCAAGGTTAAAATTAAAAGAAAAATTACTACCAAAAAAGAGAGACAAAAGTTACTAGTAGCTGTAAATTAAGTAGAGAAATGACAAACCACATGCAATTTTGGGGTTGACAGTTGACGTATGGGCTTCTTATCCGAGAAGCTGTCAACAGCTGACGAACTGCTGACCAATTCCGCCGCTTACTTAAATTCCTCTGCCTTGTTGTTCTGAGCCTCAGTATTTTCCCTTCTTCTTCTTCTTCTTCCTCCTCCTCGAAAACGTTGTTTTTATTGTTGTTATTATGAGCAAGAAAATAATGGCTCTTGTTTTCCTTCTAGTACTGTCTGCATCTTTCATTGGGATTTCTCAAGGCCAACTCACAGTGGGTTTCTATTCAAACACATGCCCAGATGCTGAGTCCATTGTCTCTGGGGTTGTTCGGAATGCTGCTCAGTCTAACTCCAACATTTCTCCGGTCTTGCTCAGGCTCCACTTCCATGACTGTTTTGTTGAGGTCTTCAATTTCTCTCTCTCTCTCTATGTTGTTTGTTCATTTCAATGTTAAAATTATGAAATGATTCCATGGTTGCTGATTCTGAATGGAACTATATATATATATATATATATATTATCATCAGGGCTGTGATGGTTCAATTCTGATAGAAAATGGTCCAAATGCTGAGAGACATGCATTTAGTCACCAGGGAGTTGGAGGCTTCGAAGTGATAGATCAAGCCAAAGCTCAGCTCGAAGCTACGTGTCCAGGAGTGGTTTCTTGCGCAGATATAGTCGCCTTAGCAGCTCGAGATGCTATAGCTTTGGTATAAACGTACTTGATTTGCATCATTGATATATATATACAGATACATCCTTTCTTTTTCTTTCTGATTTTGATCCTTTCCTCTCATGTTTAGTTATTGTTTCTATGTTTATGATGAGGATATAGGCAAATGGACCATCCTATGAGGTTCCAACAGGCCGTAGAGATGGAAGGGCTTCGGATGTTTCTCTGGCGGCTAACATGCCGGATGTTAGCAATTCAATCCAGCAACTCAAGGCTAAGTTTCTTCAGAAAGGACTCTCAGAGAAAGACCTTGTGCTTCTCAGTGGTAAATCACCTCTCTCTCTCTCTCTCTCTCTCTCTCTCTCTCTCTCTCATGCATGTTTGGTGATACCAAGGTTGGTAGGAATTCAAGTGATATGACTTGGTAAATGGTTTGTACGTGAAAATTCGTGATAACAAGTATGAAACTGATTAGTATTAATACAAGAGAAACGCTGCCAAGGTCCTGCAAACTAAGCAGATAAGCTGCTGTTTCAAGCTTTTTTAAGACAGATTCCTGAACCATAAAGTCCTACTAGCTTATTATAGGCTTCAGTTACGTTTGGCACTTTGTTGAATGTGCCAAAATAAAATAATCTACAATTTTGAATGATGGTCCTCCACTTGCGAGCATCTAATGCTAAGTCTACTTTTTGACTATTCCAATGTAAATGCAGCTGCACATACAATCGGAACCACAGCATGTTTTTTCATGACAGACCGGCTTTACAATTTCTCCCCTGCTGGAGGGTCAGATCCTGCAATCAACCCTGACTTTTTGCCGGAGCTGCAATCGGTATGCCCCCAGAACGGAGACGTGAATGTAAGATTACCAATGGATCGGGGAAGTGAGCAAACATTTGACAATCATATTCTGGAGAACATCAGGAATGGCTTTGCAGTGCTGGCATCTGATGCCAAGCTATACGAGGACGAAACGACGAGGATTGTAGTTGACTCCTATTTTGGAATGTTGACTCCAATCTTTGGAACATCTTTCGAAGCAGATTTTGTTGAATCCATAGTGAAGATGGGGCAGATTGGTGTCAAAACAGGGTCCAATGGAGAAATCAGGCGTGTTTGTACAGCTTTCAATTGAATTATTAGACTACAGATAATTTATCTGATATCATACAATTGTTTAATTACTCAGCAATAAGATGTATTAATCTGCGTAGATTGGTTGAACATGAAGCTAGTGCTTTACCGGCTACAAGTGAAATTTCCTTGTAAATTGTACGGTTCTTGAAGTTGAAATTGAAAAAGTGTTGTCATTTGTCATGAGTGAAACTCCAAAGATATTCACATGTTGCTACTGTCGGTTCAGATATGATGCCATGCCCAAGCGTGATGGTCTCATGCAAAGCACAGTGATGAATTTCGAGAAGAGTGCCATTTTTAATACCCAAATGTTGTCTTTTTTGCTTTGCTTTTTGTTACTTTTGAAATGAATGAGCGTTCGGTTGATCAGAGAGAGAAGAGAGACAAAAATTCCTGACGAATGCATTTCCACACAAAGCCAAGTTGATGCTGAACTTTTTGCCCAAATTCATTGTTCCATACAAATTGTAATTACTGGGTCAAAATGCCCTCAAAGCAAGCATCGGTGTCACTCCTTTTACAACAGACAGATGCAACCAATAAGTTCCATAGAGAAAAATCTGGCACCATGCCCTGACTAACCATCTCTTCCAACCACATCACAGCTTCATATTGCCTACCTACTGAACAAAGCCCCCTTACAAGAGCATTGTAAGTTTCTGCGCCAGGCCAATGTAATTTGATCACCATCTCCTCCAACACCCGACTTGCTTCAACAAATTTACCATCTTTACACAACCCATCAACTAGAATGCTGTAAGTTTGCTTGTCAGCTGAGCAACCAACCTGCTTGGCCATCTTCTTCAAGTACCCAACAGCCAATTCTGAATCCCCTGCATCACAGAGGCATTTCAAGACAATATTGTACAACCTAACACTTGGAACACAAGTTCCCTCTTTTATATCCTCTTCAATTACCTTCACTGCTTCACTAACTCTCCCTTTCTTACTCAAAGCTTCTGCCTTTGCCTCATACATCAACAATGATGGCCAAAACCCTTTCTTACGCATTTCATCAAGCACTGTCTTAGCCTCATCAACTCTAACTTCGTTGTAAAGATCAATAGCCATTGCACAATAACTACCCATACTAGGAACTCCCCCTCTTATCAAAGCTTCATTAATCAAACGTTTTGTAGCTTCTGAATCGTCCCCATTCCCACATTTACTTAAATCAATCCGGTGTCGACGGCTCTTAGGAGCCTTCAAACCCTTCCTCAAAATCTTACCAAGAAGTTCCAGGGCTTCTTCAACCTTGCCATTATCGCACAGAGAATACAATAAAATCCTATAAATCACTATATCTTCACCACTACCCTTTTGGGAAATCCTCCAAAACATTGAATATAGCAAGTGGGTAGCTTCATTTAACCTCCCATCATCACATAAACCCTTCATTAAAATCCTATAACTTTCCCTATCCGGATAACAACCTTGAAAATCCATTTCTTGGAAAACATTCAAAGCAAGATCAGATTTTTTAAACTGACAAAGCCCTTCCATCAACAAATTCAAAGATTTCACCCTGGATTTCACTTCCAGCCTACAAGAATTCTCCAAAAAAAGCTGATAGGCAGCTTTGAAATCAGACTCTTTCACCATGATTCCCAAAAGGGTATTGAAAGATTGAGTAAAATTGACACAATTAAATTGAGGAATGCCGTTAAAAAGATCTACAGCCTCATTTACCATTCCAGCACTAGCAAAAGTTCTGATAACTCCAGCAAAAGTTGAATCTTTGCACTCACAACAATCTTCTTTCATTTGATCAATCACTTGTCTCATCTCGGAGAGTCGACCGGAGTTTCCCAGAATGTCAATCATGGTGGCGTAAACAGGACCGTTGTGGCGGTAATTGGGGTACTTTTGTTGGGCTTGATTGAAGACTTGAAGAGCTGTTAACGGGTTCTTTTGGGCTCTTATAATTTGAGCGAGATGTGTCGGAGTTAAAACTCTTGGCCATCTTATGCTCATCGCCACCTCAACTCTCGTCAAGCTTGATTTGCTGTGCAGAGCTTTCAAATTTCAGTTTTATATCAGTGACGAATTTAACCGAACAGCTGGCGATATCCGTTAATCAAATGATTACCCAGAAACCATCCAGGAGAGAATCAATAGAGGTTGCCCGTAGGAGAATCCAACAGAGACCTTACTACCCAGATTCCGACCGAAAAATTAGACATCCCATGCGCTCAGAGAGTGTTTTGTCGTGCCAGGTCACACTGCTTTCTGAAACAAATAATTTTGGCGGGAACCAAAACCTTAACAAACAGCTTTCTTGTTCATACCATGCAACATCCCTGAATAAATCCGGCATTCCCAAGGTTAGCTATGATATAAATATTGATTTTTCACTCATATGATAAAATATTTGATTTTATATACTCAATATATTCAGTATTAATAGATTTCAATATAAATATCTTATTTTAAAAAAATTCAATACTCAAAAAGTTCGATATAAATATACGATTCTTTTATCCATATAAACTATAATTCATAAATATTTACGAATATTCTGAAATATCCGTGACAAAAAGTCTAAGAAGTTTGTTGAACATAAAAACTACATACTGAAATATTAAAGAAATTCTAAAAAAATTTGAAGAGCTTGATACATTTATCTAATATTTATATAGATTACTGCAAATAAGATAATAATAGCTCAATAGCACATCTTTTGAACGTTCGACCATACTTCAATACGAGAAAAGGTACAAAAAGGGCAGGTCCTTTATGCAACATTACAAGCAAGCAGCACTACCGAAAGTAGTACATGAATCGAATAAGCTGGTACTACAGGATACACAAGAAAGATATTGAGCTAATCTTCACTACCATATGCACCAAAATATTCATAAATGCTTCGAAGTTTCTAATTCTGAGTCAGTAGGAACTTCAGCTGACGTTGACCGCTGTGCAAACATTCCTGTCATAGCAATAAAACCCGAATAAGGAAACCACTAAAAGAATTTCATCATGGTATTTTCCTGCTGACAAAGATCGTGTACCCAATTTTCTTCTAAACATGCATCATCAAAGCAAACTGATGATTAAACAAACCGGCATCCTCAGGTTGGTTTTACTTTGATTTCAAGCCATTTACTAGTGGTCACTTGCAAAACTAGGAGTACCAAGAACTTACCTGCAGTCAGTTCGACCTTGACCTTGATCTTGATCTGCATATGGATAAGCAAAAAATACAAAAAACAAAAATGAGCACCAAGGAGAGGAAAAGGACTGGTTAACCAAAAGAATATATATACCAAACTTCAACATATATACATACCTGGATAATCTGGCTGGTGAGGGTGACCTAGATTTTGACACAGACCTGGTAAAGATAAAGAATCAGTCTTACCATGACAAAGAAGATAGCCAGCTGTGCACATGTGAGAGAATGAGTGCGTGAGTGTTTTTTGTTTGTCTATCTATCTCAGCATGTGGGCATACAAGAGAGAGCAAAGAGAAAAAAGAAAACAACAGAACCTCCTATTGCTTCTTGGACTCCCACTTCGACTCCTACTTCGGCTTCGACCACCACGCGGGCTACCCTCATAGCATTTCACCTGAAATTATGATTGCAACACAATGTAACTATTAAAGAGAAAAAAAAAAGGATTAATGAAATGCCCTCAACATCAATAAAGAAAGGGCTTTCTTTTGTATCAAAGACATATTTATTCACGTAGCACCACCAACACCGCACCCCCAAAAAACCATTATATTTTCAAGTGAAACCACTATAATACGGCCACAGCAACTTGTACACAAGACAACTTCAGAAGAGAGACACCACATATTTCCTTTGTCAGTCAAAACCTTAAAACATGGAGAGAATGTTTAAGAAAGCCCATAAACCACGTAACTTTTCCAAACCCAAAAAAGGAAAAAGGATTACCCTGATATAAGCCCTTGCAAAAGGATTTCGAAATTCAGAATCATCAAGTTTCCTGATCTGTGCAAGAGGAAATCAAGAGCAAGGTAAGTAAAATAATCAAGAAGCACAAGCCACAAACAAATCAAATCAATAGAATAATTCCAATTAACTTACTGCATATTTCATGTCATCATAATTGGTGTAGTCCACAATACCCATTGCTCCTACAAGAGGAAAAACTATAGCTTAACAAATGGAGAAATCCAACAAATATAAAATGAAATGCAAATGAAACAGATAGGTATGATAGATGTAACATGAAAATAGTGAGTGAACCTAATTAGATCTCATACCATCACCATCCCTATAAACTTCTGCAAAGCAAACATCTCCAGCCTTACGCATGTGATCCTGAAATAAACCCACTGATTATAAGTTTTTCACATTCACATGCGAAGAAACTTAATGTAGAAGAAGTTGGAAAATCTTACCTTCAGATCTTGCCATGAAGCTGAAGAAGGCAATCCACGAACAACAACTAAATAATTGTAAATGAAAACGTCACATAAGGAAATATACAACCAGAACAAGATAATAGTAAAACATAAAGACTGAAACAGAAACTTGAATTTCAAAAATTGTATATAGTTTTCACCTCGAAACTCAGACCGATGAGAAGTCCCAAATCGTCCTCTACCACCGCTGCCGCCACTACCACCATATCCACGTCGAGAAGATTGCCCTCTACCACCATGGGCTAGTTCAACCTGATTCAAGGGTCAGATAAGACACCACCTAGAGAACAATAATGCACTGGTTAAAAGTCAGTTACCCGGATACGACACCCATCAAAATTATAGCCATCTCGACCCTTAATTGCGTCTTCAGCATCCAGAGGGTCCTCAAACTGCAAATAAGAACAACTTAGAAATAGGCAGAAAAAAAGCCATGAAGAAATTGCTCAAAAAGTATGTCTTCATGGAATGTTTATACCTCCACGAAACAGTAACCAGGAGGGCGGGGAGGAAGCTTCAATTCGATATCCAAAATACGTCCATACTGTAACCCATAAAAGTCATATTAGAAGTGCCGAAAAGCAAACAAACTAGTACAACCCTTCAAGTGCTGCATAATAATCAGCTTTGCAAAAAGTAATTCAAGGTCCTTCAATTGCACAAGTTTGATAGAACAAGAAGGATTGAGAAGAACAGTTTGAGTCAAGAAGAATATAAAGCAGACAGAGTAGCTGCTTAGTATGAGACAAAGGAAAGCATTCCAAAACTCAGTATGGGAATCATACATTATGCCCATCTAAGGGCACATAAAACAGAAAAAAACAGCTTTGCTTTCCCAGAACAAATTTAATTCTTGGAGAAGATAAATGATGAAGTGAATAACAGTTCACATAAATTACTCTTACATATCTTAGTAAAACGTTACTAGAAGCTTTAAAAATCATGAAAAGGATTAAAAGCATCAAAAGCCATCTCCAGAAGACTAATTCAAGCTGCCAAGATCAAACAAGAAGCAATTGACCAGAATTATCAAAATCAGTATACAGTATTCTCATTTCTTTTCTTCTTCTTTAGACATATACAAAATAAAGAAAAGTCTGCATGACATAAACCTTGTAGAAAAGGTCTTCAATCTCCCACTCTTTGATATCTAGCGGTAGGTTACCAACGTATATGGTGCGGGAAGAACGACCAGCCATTTGTTGATGTGCAGTGGGCACAATTCACTGCAGACAAAAAGTGGAAACGAAAATTAATCCTTTTTGAAGAGTCACAATTTGCAATTACAATTTTCACCAGAATTTCTTTTCTATTGCTCAAGCTCATTAAGACAATAGGCAATAAAGCAAAGCCAATTATGTGAAGCAGACCAAGAGCAACTCTTGAAGTGGTGCTCCACAGGCTCCATCACTCATGTGCTCCAAGATGCACCAGAGCTATTATTAAATAGATAACAATTTTGAACTCCTCATCCTTTCCTTGACATTTGCAGAGGGATAGCAATCTTCTCAGAGTGATCAAGAACCTCCATTTACCAAAATACTCATAAATCCAATATGACTCCTTTGTCCCCATTTCTACATCCTTATGTATATTCCCAAAGCTCCTATGTGTTGAAGCTCCTTTCATCTATCATACACAAAGTGTTTGAGTTATGAACTGTGATATGAGATTGATAAGATATTTATATGCATTCTCAAGGTTTTTTTATACGTGTATTGACAATTACTTGGATCAGGGAAACAATTAATATGTTCCAAAATCTCTTACTCTTTACTGTGTTTGCAAATGGTATTGATTTAGAGTTCTCAAAAGGCTATGGAGGCCCAACCGTCCAAAGAAGATAGATAGAAGTTCATTTTAGCAAATTCTAACTCTCATACCCGAGACCCAGAGCCAAAACTTGATGCAACTAAGAAGCCCACGAAATGGACAACAATCTAATAAGAAAAACAACATGCCAAGCAAACTATCCGGCAATGAGGCTTACTTACATAACGTAAAAGAAATCCGTTCTCAAACTAGTGGTTTTACCTTTACCCTCCATTGGAGAGTCCATGCCAAGGGTTCAACTCCATTCTCCCCCAGCCTTGTCAAAATGTACCCAAACCAAAGCGGAAAAAACACAGATACAAACCCAAAAAAGCGCGAAGATAAATTGAAAAGATAGAATATAACGAACAAGAAAACTGATAGACCCTAGATAGTAGATACAGGTGACGTCATACCAGTACCTGAGGGCTAGGGATTACGACGATCGGAAGCGTAACGGAGTGACCGGTGTTGTGACAACTGGGTGAACCGAACCAATAATTTAACGACGTGAGGGTTTGTTGTAAAGCGGATAATAATAAAGTAGGGAAGAGGTTAAAGGGCATTTTCGGTCATTTTGGCCAATATTTTCCCACTCAGATTCTGCCACGTCATTTTTGTTTCCTTATAAACTTCTTCATTCCTGTATTAATACGTGGCGTATAACCCGCTTTTTGGTAAATGAAATGCGTTAATTGGTTTATCCAATTTTTTATTGCGTTTTTGAGATTTCAAATAAAGGACTTAAATATTAAAAAAGTTTTTGAATTTATTTTACTTTACCTAAAAAAAGTTTTTATTTTTTTATATTTGTTTAATTTGTATATATACACATATTTAATTATAATAAAAATTTAATAACTTTCAAACACATTATTCTCTTTACATGACATATGACATAAAAAATCTCATTTTTTTATATTAATTACTATATGAATACGTCATATATCACATAGATAAAAAAATTAATTAATATTAATCTTATATTTCTTTTTTTTATTAAAATTAAAGTCTTTATATGGATATAAATTAAAATTTAAGATATTTTTTGGATATAATAAAAAAATAAATTTTTTAACATAAAAGTGAAATATTTCAAAAAATTTTAATATTTTCTTTTGATTATGACAAAAAAGATTCAAATTTTATTTTTTAGACAAATCGATCATACACCAATCAATAAATCAAATGCTCAGATGTAATATTTTTTTAATATTTAAACCTAAATAGAGTAATAATATTTTTTTGAGAAAAAAATATGTTTCCGTAATTAAGAATTTTTGTTTTATTGATTCTTGAGTTATTACGATTGTTTATCGCATTAAACAAGTAAATTTAATTAATAGTATAATTATATTGAAAATTTGGTGATAAATTTGATTTTTGACCAAATAAATTAATAAGCAACTTAATGATTAGATTTAAATTTCATATTAAGTGAAATCCGAACCTGATTACATTAATTTCTGTGTGATAATCTATTTATCTATATATTTATTACACATGTATGTGAAATTCATTAAAAGCATAACAGGTCAACCCGTATATAAAATGTACTAAAATTATTCTTAATAATGAATCAGTCAAATTGAAATATCTACACTGAAATAAGAATGAATTGTAAGTAAAAGTTTCAAATTGACTATTTAATGCACCCGATTGTGAATTATATCTTTTCCACGTCCATTAAGCTATTGAGATATTGAATGTAAAATAATAATAATAAACATAGGGCAAAAACATCAAGACATTTAGGTTCTATACGATTTCAACTAAAGTAATTTCAATTATAGCAATTCATCAAAAAATAAATAAATACTATTTAATAATATTAATTTTAGCTAATAAACTCATAAAGTCATAAATTATTATATCACTAAAGAAGCAAAAAAAAAGTTAATAAACTATGTTTATTTATATAAACATAGTTTTATGTACAAAAAGAAAAGCTAATACTAACTACCAAACAGTTCAATTGTTCATCCCTAATCATCCCAACATCATATTTAAATTTCATTTGATTAATGTTGTAATTTCTTTTATTTTTTACTGTGTGGCTTTATTTTTATTTAATTTTAATTTTTAAATTATTGTATATAAAAAATTTAAAACTTAAAAACATTAATGAAATATAAATGCAATAATTTCACATCATAAAATAAAAATTTTAATGAAGTTATTGAAGATATAAAATTAAAAGATAAATGAGAGTAATATAGTTTACAATAATAAATTTGTTTTATGAGATTTAAAATTTAACTTTTAATCATTTTGTTTTATTTTATTATATTTATATTTGACACTATTAAAACAATATTAACGAAGAAATAATTAAGTATTAAATTTTAGATCGGTAAATTTGGTTTCTTCTCAAATCGTAAAGTGTTTTTTTTTTAATTTAATTCAACATTAAATAATACTCATACTCTACTAATTATAGTAAAATAAATTAATTAAAAGTAATAAAAAATAAAAAATTATTTAAATATTTTAAAATAAGTTATAGATTTTTAATTATTATATTTATTAATAAATTAATAAAAAATTTTTGAAGCAAAATTAATAAAAAATTTTAAACACTATATATATAATATATTAAAAAAAAGAAAAACTTAATTCAGCACGGCCACGCAGACGTGCTTCTTGGGCGCGTAAGCGTACTTCCCAGTCACCGACAGTAACGTTGTGCTTGCTTTGCTTAATCTTTTGCTTCTTTCTTACTCATTCTTCTCCCTCAAATCCGCCGATCTACTCTCTCTCTCTCTCTATCTCCTTCTCGTCAGGAGCTAAGACTAAGGCCCCAATTCCTCGCCATGGGTTCCGCATTGCAAATAGCCAACAAAAACATCGGCGTTTTAATCTTTCTTCTATTGTCAACCGCTTTAACGACGACCGACGCTTCAATCCACATCTACCAGAACCAACTCTTCAATGAAGTCGGCAATGCTTATCTTCTTCCCGGCGGCAGTGAAGGACTCGCTGCCTCTCTATCCTCCGACAACTCCGCCACCGATGGCCGGTCTTTTATTCGGTAAAGAAGCATTTATCTTATTAATAAAGTGAATCGTTTGCTTCTTATGTATTCAAGTTTTTTCCATTGTTTATGCTCAAGTTTTGGAGGAAGAATGTGGCTGTGTTATCGATTTTGGATTAGATCTGTTAGAAAGTCGTTAAGATTTTGCTTGTCGCGTTTACAGATTTATTATCTAAGCCACGCATGCTTAGTTGTATCTATGAGGATTGTTGAAAGATGCATTATTGCCCTCCTTGGAATTTTCTTGAGCAGAGAAGGATTGATGGGATCAATGGCTAGTCCTTTTCTAATTTGTTTTTTGAAAATGAAGAAATGTACTTTTCATTTTTTTTTTATTTATAATTGCATATTGAAGTGAAAATGATTATCTGAGCAGATCCAAGATTTTTGTGCTACTATCATTTATTAAAATATATAATTAATGCTTCTTAAGGCCATGGTTAATTGTATGAGCTTTTCAGAATTATATGTAGCCATAGATGTAAACAATTATGTTTATGCATAAGTAAAATGGGCATTGTGGTGCTGAATTAAGCATTTCATTTTCAAAATTTGATGTCTTACATGTAATTTTTATACAGATTTGAGAATATCACATTCTGGAGGACCCAGGATGCTGCAGATGAGCATTCCGACATGGAACATAGTACCGGGTTGATACAAGCCGTGATTTTTGAGGCTGCTGATCGAAATAATATTGGTGGTTCAGCTTATGGTGGACAGAGGTCAATTTGTTGCACCCCTGATCTTGCTAAGCTTGAAGGTTGCAAGCAAGGTGAAGTCATTAGGATACCTTCTGCAACAGATATTAACTGGCCAATTGTTTTAAACATACAGTTCGGTGGAAACTACTTATCGACAAGTATGGAAAATGCAGAGGTTCCCATCACGAAAACTGGGATGTATAATTTATTTTTTATAGCATGTGATCCGAAACTCAAGGGAACAGTAATGAGTGGGAAGACAGTGTGGAAGAATCCTGATGGTTATTTACCTGGGAGAATGGCTCCATTGATGAAGTTCTATGTGTACATGGCAATTGCCTATGTGTTGCTTAGTGCCATTTGGTTCTCCCAGTACATGAGGTTCTGGAAAGATATCCTGCAACTTCAGCACTGCATCACTGCTGTCATTGGTCTGGGTTTGTTTGAAATGATATTGTGGTATCTGGAATATGCAAATTTTAACAATACAGGAATGAGGCCTGTTGTAATTACAACTTGGGTTGTGACAGTTGGAGCTATAAGAAAAACACTTTCTCGACTTCTCATACTTTCTGTTTCAATGGGTTATGGTGTTGTACGCCCAACTTTAGGTGGTATTACCTCAAAGGTGCTTCTCCTCGGAATAACTTATTTTTTGGCATCTGAATTACTGGACATTACCGAGTATGTAGGGACCATCAATGACATATCAGGAAGAGCAAGACTCTTCTTAGTCCTTCCTGATGCATTCCTGGATGCATTTTTGATATTGTGGATTTTTACATCTCTTTCAAAAACACTGGAGCAGTTACAGGTATTTTAAAATTTTATTTTTCAGCTTTAATGGTCAATGACCTTAAGTTTTTTTCATTGCAATAACTGTGCTTATTCTTCTTCATGATTTCATTTCACAATTTTGCTTTCATACTGTATGAATTTCAGTGACTGACATTATTTTCATCCAGGCAAAGAGGATATCAGTAAAGTTGGACCTCTATAGGAAATTCTCAAATGCATTAGCTGTGGCAGTGATTGCTTCAGTCGCATGGATAACTTATGAGGTATGATTTTGTCAAGATTTTGGTTTCTTTCTTGGTTGGTGTTTGCATGCTATATTTCGTGAATAAATGACAAATATTAGTAAAATTTGTTAAATATTGCTGGAAAGACAATTATTTATTGTGAAAAACTATTTGTAGCCCTTAGTAAGATTGCAATGCAGAATTTATCATTGATCCGATATGTTGCTACAACAGGTATACTTCAAAGCAACAGATCCTTTCAACGAGAGGTGGCAGAGTGCTTGGATCATCACAGCTTTCTGGGACATTCTTTCATTTGTACTACTCTGTGTTATTTGCTACCTTTGGGCTCCATCTCAAAGCTCCCAGCGGTGCGTTTTTATTCTTGTAGAAGTTTTTAATGAGTCAATAGGATTGTTCCTTAACCTTTCTCCTCTCCTTTCAACTTAAAAATGCTTTGAGGACTTACCATTTTAGTTAGAATCTGCAATCACATAGTTGGGAATCTTCCCCTATAGATATGTTGTCATGACTATATAAATATATATATATATATATATATATATTTGGGGGTTGGGGTTGGGGGGGCTGTGGTGATATACATCTCTCATAGCTTTAATTTGCTGTAGTTTTGCCACTTTTTGTGCTAACATACTCAATACTGCTAACTGTCCTCAGGTATGCATACTCAGAAGATGTGGGAGAGGAATTTGATGATGAAGAAGCTCAATCTTTAACTAGGGGACAGTCTGATGGGGATGTCAGTTTAGTCAAGCAGGAGAGGAAGAATGGAAATGCTGGTGTCTCTGATGAGGAAGATGACTCAGAAGAGGATAAGAGGGAATAAAGCCGCTTGGTGGAACATGATCTTTAATCAACCTTGTTCAGCAGTGCCAAACCACATCAACCAGAGCCCCTGGGGCAACAATTCTTCGAAATAGCATGCAAAGGGAACAAATCCGATACCAAAAATTGATCTTGCTTACTTCTGCCGTGGATAGACAGCCTGGTAGATTTTCTTCGTCTCTTTTGTCCATATATTGTAGTATTCTTTAATTGTACATGAGAAAAAGGGGGTCGCAAATGCGCAAATGGGTGCATAGCGTAGAGAATAAAACAGGTATCGGAATGGCATTATCCAATCTCTCTGATATCCGGATGCATGAGATCAGTTGTTGTATGGTGTTTCTTCTTTGTAGTAATATTAGGTTTTGTGTGATGTGAAATTTTTGTTTACATGATTGAGAGATGGGTCCATTGCCATATCTCATTTTGGGTGTTTTGACAGGGACAACTTGATTTATCAAGAAAGATTTCTTATGTTTTCCTCTAGTGGTTATGGTCTGATATGCTTCAAAAGTTTTTTGACAAATTCTCTCATTTCATAATTTTTTCTTTTGCTGCTTCGCCTCATGGTGTTGTAATTTGACGATGCAAATCAAAGGATGTAATGGAAGCCTTTATTTATTGTAGTGGTTTTTTTTCTTTTATTAATTGAGAAAAGGGGACTTGAATTTTATTTTTTAGTTAAGAAATCTTACACTAATTAATTAATCAAATATTTGAGTATTTTATTTCTTTATTTAATGACAATATTTGCAATATTTTATTAACATAATAAAATGCACTTTTGATTTCTAACACCCAAACAATTTAGTTAAATTATGTAGATTCATTTATGCGAACAATTATATTAAAATAAAATTTACCAAAGAGAAAGAACTTTCAAAATTTTAGGCAAACTAAAATTCATAATTTGATTTTTGATTAATTTTAATTTAATAATAAATTGAGTTAAATTTTATTAAATTTTGTAGAAAAATAGTTGAATTAGTACTTCAAACTATTTGTCAAAAACTAATTTATCCATGATTGGATAATTAAGATATTAGTCAAGTTCAATTGATACACTCATTACACTAATTGGATTTTGATATACTTATAAAAGAAGAGGACTCAACTTGATTCAAGCCTATATTTGGCTTTTCATATCTTTAATAAGGGGTTTCATATTAGTAAAGAATTGAGTAAATTTTGATTTTATTTATTATGTATTCATATTTCTAAATTAAAAAACATACTTATTAAGTGAAAAAAAAATAAAAAATTTATCTCATCTAATATTACAAATATCATAAAATTTTAAATTAAATCGTACAAACATCTAATTTAATTTTTAATTCTCCTCAAATTGTATTTTTTTTTCTCTTGTATCATCTACTTTTTTTGTTTTCAATTTCCATTTTATATCGATGACCATGAAATAGGATTGTATGATGTATCTCCCACGGTTGAAGACAAGGAAGAAAAGTTAAAGGGGCAGAAGTTAAAATACCTTAACTATTGGGGAGCAAATATGGAATTATAACATCTGCATTTAAGGTATCCAAAAACAAAAACAAATTTCCATAAAAAACATTTATTTTCTTTTTTTTTTTCAAGATTCTTATGCCCTTTTTGTCTGATAGGATAGTGAATCCAGTTTGATTGATTTCTCGAACTCATGCAGTAATTCTGCCAAATCACAGTCCCAGGGATCAAAAGAAAGCTATCCATTAATTTCAAGAAGGGTTAATCGATGGCAAGCAACAATGGAGGGGGTGAAGAGCAATTGACGAAGATGACGGAATTGAGCAAAACCCTAAAAGAAGGTGAAAGGATTCTAGCGCCCACCCGGAGACCCGATGGAACCCTCCGCAAACCCATTCGGATTCGGGCCGGGTATGTTCCCCAAGAGGAAGTCGCCATTTACCAGTCCAAAGGTGCCCTGGTATGTCACATGCCCATGTATGTATGTAATGTATGCGTCCATTTGCATGTAGTTTTCATCTTTTCGCTTGTTTTAGTAATTCGAATGTTGTGGAAGAGAGAGGGATGGCATCCAATTTTTATTTTTGATGTGTATGCCATTGTTTTTATCCGTGGGTTATATGTATGTACGCGTGTATGGTGGATGCTGTATGTTCCAGTGTTTCTATTCGGTGTTTGTGTCTATCTTTATAGTTATGTTTGGCTGTCGAGGATGTGGGAAATTTGGCTATGGCTTTATGGTTGAGTTTTGAGGCTGCAAATTTCATGTTAAAGTAACTTAATTGTTGATAAAGTTTTGTTGAGTGTGAAGAATACCTTCAATTCTGTCCCATTCAGCTAAATTGAGTAGAGACTTTGGTCTGTGGGGTTATTGGATTCGAAGTTCTATTTCGTGGCAATATCTCCTGCAAAATGTTGTCATTTTTTTTTTCCAGAAAGGAAAACGAGCAAGAAGAACAGGAAGAGTGGCATTGATCTTCGTTTTAATCTGTGATGCAGTGGAAAAAGGAGATGGCGTCACAAGTAGGGCCTCCAGGTTATGATCCAGCGATGGATACAAAACCCAAAACCAAGTCAGCAAAGAGAAATGAAAGAAAGAAGGAGAAACGGCTACAGGTATGATGCTTGTTGCTGTTATCTAGCATGAATTTCCATTTAATGGTTTCCGCAATTTTGGCTTATTTCTTTTTCTGCTAGGGATCATTCAACTATTTCATAAGAGAAATGATTTCATTTCTTTCCTTCAGTTGGCGAAGTATTTGGATATATTTGTCAGCCTTATGGCCCATTTCAAGCCTCCATGGATGGTCATTCTTTTTGTGCATCGTTCTTGCAACATTGCAAAGGGACAGTATAATGTAGTTTCTTTTGTCTTCAGTCAATGCCCTTTCTTCTGTAAATGATCAAAAAATCCAAGGAAACAGTCCAGAACATCTTTAGTGTTTATGAAAGCAAGCTTTAGTGAATGCGTTTTCTATGGCTTTCTGATGGCATATGTGGTCTGCCAACAGCTCTGCAGCATTTTAGATCTCTTGCAATGGACTCTGTACTTCTTTATTTCTATTTTACCTTTATTGCTTTGATATGAAAAGTTATTATTAAAAAAAAGATTAAAAACTTGTCATTCGTGCTGTGGTTTAGATATTCACCCTTGCTCAATAGCTGTGCAACAACATTATTTGTGCCAGCTACAAAATTGTAGAAAAGTATATCTGCTGCATTAGGTAGTTAATAGAATAAACTGATTGGGTTTGGATATGAGCTTAATGTCTCTATTAATGTAGTAAGATATAAATATCTAGTCTTGACATTGTTCTGGACATTAAGCCAACAAGATTCTGTATGTTAATACTTAGCATTTCATTTACTAAGTTACTTATGGCAGGCTGCTCTTGAAAAGGGTAAGAACATGGAAGCAGAGGCGGATGATGAGATTGAAAAGGAGGATGTGCCTGAGGAAGATTCAGATCATGGATCCGAATCTGTTAAATCATTGACATCTCAGATGACTGAGCTTGCTGTTTCTCAAAATCCTGTTCCAACCTCCCCTCCTTCAAACACAGTGCAGGCCTCAGATGCTGATGTACCAGTTCAAGATCTTGATAAAAAAATTCGAGCACTCAAAAAGAAGGTATAGTTCATTCCACCTTTGTATTAACATGTAAACAATATCGGTTATAATTTGCCAGCATCTTAGGACATCTTAACAAACCCTTGAAGAAGGAAAAAGTTAGCTTTGTCATCTCTACATTAAAACCCTTTATCTAAAATCAAACTCATCCTTTATGCTCGGTAGACAGAAGACTTGTCACTAACAGATGCAATCATTAAGTAATCATCTCTAATGGGAGGAGAGCAAATTGAATAATACTTACCAAGTAAAAAGATCTGAATGAGGAACAAGATATATTAAATTTTGAATCATTCAAATCAATAAAATGTTTACTCTCTGTTTACTAAATTGACCTCATATGCCTTTCCACGTGCATGTGAATCTGTGCACATTTGGTTGGTATAACCATATGCTCTGGACAGCTTTACTGCTACTTGTTCAGGGTTTGAAAAAAGTTCTAAAGACAAGTGTGAAAATATGCTATGCTAAAGGCCAAAACTCATCCACACTGCTAAAAGAATTCTATGCTGCTTTATAATTGTCAAATGCCAGATTGTTATTCTCCTTGTTGTGTATAGCTTATCCCCTTTCTTGGGCTGTGAGTGTAATAAAAGTTGCTGCTAACAAATTTACTTCTGGGTGCACATCCCTCCCACTTGTTCTCTTGCTTTGGGTCTCCATATTCCATTCTATCTTGACTCCTGTTTGTTCTTTCTTCCATCTTTGAGTCAGTTGCTTTCCCCTGAAGAGGCTTAAAAAAAGTTTCTGGTTTTTGTGCATGGGCGCATAGGTGTTTGAATATGTGTCTAATAGAGGCTTGTTTGCAGCAAATATGTATTATGATTAGTTTCGTGTAACTTTTCTTGCACATAATTGAGGACTATGACAGACATCAAGGTTATAACTGAATATTTGAGTGACAACAAGGTTTGTGTTATAATTCATTCCTATTAGACGTTTCAACTTCAAGTTGTTGCTTAATATGTTCAAGGACTTTGAGGGACTTCAGCATGGAATTCTTTATTTCAGTACTGGCAACGGCAAGTTATAGTTTACATTGGTGTCCTTCCCTTTCCTTCGATGGTGGCATGGTGCTTTTATGCTTTTTTGGAGAGAATTTGTTTTAAATTTGACATGCTTTCAATTCCTAAAGCATCAAGTGTATAAAGATTTTATTGTTTTGTTGTTGGTTCACCTGAATATTGGTTTGCATATGTAGATTCGATTAACAGAAGCTCAGCAGCAGAAAACTCCACAGCAAGATATGAAGCCAGAACAGCTAGAAAAGTTCGCAAAACTGGAAGGTTGGCGTCAGGAGCTAAAGCTTTTGGAGGATAAAAAGGCTGAATTGGCAGCGTTGTGAGTTGGGGTTTCTGTCTCTGTGAAGAAACTATGTAGTTTCCATTTACAATTTGATGGAGATGCAAAAACTGCATTGTGGAACAGAGGTGAATCTATTGAGATTTTGTTCTAAAAACGGCGTGTGAATTTGCATTTGATGCATATGACCATGTTTAATTAGTACCCGTTCCCCTGCCTTTGCACATGAATGATAATGCACATCAATGATTTACAACTAATACAATGCCAATTTCGCTTTAGTGGCTTTATTAGCATAATTTGCTTAGCATTCTCATTATGCCTCCAACGTTATAGTGGCAAACCTGCATCTGAACTATTGGCTTGCAGTTGCAGATTGCTTGGCTCATTTGGATTAGCAGTTATTCAAACACCATATAACATTTATTATTGATCATTTTCACCATTGCCTGTGCAATTGTTTTGAGCAAAAAAACAGTTACAAAGTCATGGGAATGACTACTGCTAGAGATCTTTTTATCGAAAATTCGGATAATTCTGCACAATTGGAGACTCCCATGGCTGTAAAAGCAACATAGCTGCAGGCCGAGAGCAAAATTCCCATGGTCTCCCTTTCACAGTGTGATTGTGAGTAGTAAATAATGGTTGCTCATACTCTGATCAAAACTCTTTTACTCTGACGGTGAAGCTTACATTAACCTTGCTTATGATGCCAAATTCTGCAGTATAAATCACCTATTAATTTTTTTTTCTTCCATTTTTTGAATTGCAGAGTGTCCCGGTCAAAATCTCAAATCAAAATCGAGATCTCATATCGATTGTTTAGTAAAGTATGATTGAATATTTAAATGTTCAATTTATTAAACTAGAAGAATGGCATGTATCTCACTTTATTATTATTTTTCTCATAGTGCTTTTGTGCTTTCGTTTTTCCCATTAAAAAAGAGTTTCCATGAATTTGGATTAAGAAATTTTCCTATCTAGGGAAACAAAAAAAATTTAATCACACGATTACTTCCAGGATCTAGCCGTTTAGTGATTGGAATACTGGCTAACCCGACCATAGATTGTTATATCCCAGCAATCCCTTGCTTCATCAGAGTTCTGATGCTTGTCTTTATTCCTTCAAGCCGTTAATGATATTGGAAATCAACCATTAGAATTGGAGGAAAATTGAGTCCCAACGTCTCTTCTACATTTGATTTTGAGAATGAGAGCTTGAAAATGGCAACTAGATCCATCAAGCAAAGAGAAGGAACAATATGGAAAGGGAGACAAGGGTTGGAGGGTTGACCAGAGAGGTTGATTAATTGCATGAAATTTCAGATATTCTGCAACTCAAATGTAGATTTAATACTACAAACAGAAGATTATACAGAGAAAAGCACATGCTGCAAGAATAGAAAAATGACCAAAATTTAGCGCAGCAGCTTACAGAATAAAACCAGTCAATGAAACACAATCTAGTCAAGACTTCACTAGCCAGACATCCAGACAAAACTGAGAAACCGCCTACACCACTTCTGCTGCATTACTTTGTAATATTCCATATTGTCCTCCACAACAATCGAGATGAATATCCAAGACCTATAATTCGAATGATCCAACCCCTTTTAATGTGGTCTTCTGTCTAGGCAGATTCAACATCTGATTCATCTAGTGCTTCTTTATAAAGTTCAAAGTCCTCCGGGCTCCATCTGCAGATCAAGTTTAGTCGGAAAGTGGCCATTTTGATCCCCAACAAGCGCTGCAATAAGTAAAATGTCATCAATATTTCAGTTCCAACAGACAAACACCAAGGGACCAGAATGTTATTAATCCAATATTTCCTCGCTGACTAGGTAAATCAAGGTATAAAACATGAACGAACCAGTAGACGAGTGGACTCAGGTGACAAAGGCTTTCCCTCCTCGCAGACAACAAAGTCCGAAACAAGTTCTACAACACCTGTATACATGAAAAAAGTTAATATGTAAATTCAACCTTCATATAAACATATGTGGTGCAGAAAACAGAGGCAACAAACAATTGACCTTTGTTCAACCGAACAGGCAATCCTTGCTTGCGCAAAAAGGGCTCCATCTCATGCGTGAACTGATCCAAAGGACCTTCTAAAAGTTCCACCTGGAAATGATAGAAGCATGGGGATATCCACATGTTAAAAATCAGAGATCATAAGCTTTGCAGAAAGATAAAAAAGATATGATGTAGAACTCATAACAGCTTGTCTTTCTCAACCTTTTCAGTGGCAATGCTTCCTGTCCTCGCAAAGTCAGTTTCTTCAAATTTATTAAATAAGCTGCAAAAGAATGATGAACGCAAACAAAAATAACTAAACCAAAAACATAAACAAGTGAATCTGAACTTGAATTCTAGCAGCCTAAACAGTTGTAATGCAAAAACTAAGATATCAAACATACTTACCTCTCCACTTCATCTCTCGGCATGTTGGTAAGAAAGAGTCCAGCATCCCCACGCAGAAGCTATAGAACAATTCAACAACAATGATAGAAATTACAAAACAAGGAAACATGGCATAAGCTTTAAACATCAACAAAAAAACATAATTTATTCACAGCATACAGAAGAAAGCAATACCTTAGAAACTTTGTAAAGACCTGGTCTAATCTCATCAGAAGCAGAACGACCTAGTGCAACTTGCATCACTTTATTTGAACCAAGGAAAAATCTGAAGCAAAACCCACAAAATAAAATCAATAAAAATAAAGGAAAAAGAATTACAGAAAATTAAAAGGGTACCGTGAACTTCAAATTTTTGTTTTCACCTGCTGTTAGATTTAAGCTGCTCTCTAAACTCCTTGAACTTAAGATTCCTCATGTTTTCAAAAGAGAAAACATAGATAGAGTTGTAACTTTCCGCACCTTCCCTTATTGCATTCACTATTGACTCTTTATGTTCCCTTCCCTTCTTCTTTGTCTTTGACAATGAAACTGCAGATATCATGGAAATTCAAACAATTTGAAAACTTCATAACATAAACAAAAATGAAGAAGACCCCAGGAGGAAGAAGATGACAAACCTATCTTGTTACGCTTGGACTTTGGCATCTTCGACGATTACGGCTGCCTGGAGAAAGAAAAGGTTGGTGCTTTGCTCTGCTTCTGCAACTCCTAAAACCCTTTCAATGGCAATTAGGTTTCGAGCTTATATGAGGCGGTTTGCTTCTCGCTATGTTAATGTCCATTTCTGGTCCAATCCTTTTCTAACTTTGGCGGATCGAACAGCCCAACACTGGCGGCCTTGGATACCTCTTTCTGACATATTGGGCCGGATTGGTGACTCTTTCAATATAATTGGGCCGAATTTGTCCTAAATATATATATATATATATATTGAATTAAAAGAAGTTCTATATAGGTTTTTTTTTCTTAAATTTATGGTGCATTGAAAATTTCAAAGAACCGAATTAGAACTTTCATAAATCAAATCAATAAAAAAAATGGAAATTTAATTATATCGGTTGATTTGATTTTCAATTGGTTCATATTGAAGATTTCGAAAATCAAATTATTTAAAAATTTTTTGAATTCTTTGAATTTTTATAAAAATTGTAAATTGATTAAAATCAAAATCAAAATAATTAAAATTAAATTCTTTTAATAATAAAAATAATCAAAGTTAAATTATATTCATAAATCCATATTTCAACCAAAGACATTTATTAAATGAATAAATATCCCCACTTAAGGCCTATTCTAATATAAGATACGTGTAGCATGTCATAAGTTGAAACTTAAATTTAATATAGTACAACTTTAACTTTCAAAAATAAAATTTAAATAATTTTATAAATTATAAATATATATTTTTAATTTTAAAAATATATTTAATAAATAATAAAATATACATATTTTATATATCTAATATATATATCATTGGGATCGTGACGCAACACACTCTTCTAATTTTGACTCTTTCATGCACAATTTTTAATATAAGAATAAAAAAAATTTAAATAAAATTTGATATTATTTGTCAATAAATCACATTTTTGACGTAAAGGAATTAAACCCCCTAATTCTCTGCCATATTTATTTCTCATTGGCTTTAAAGTTGGGCTGTCAACGTGGAATTTGGAAGTAATTCTCAGCCATCATTGAAAGAAAAAAGAAAAAGGACAAAAAAGAGAGGAAAGCAAGCAAGGCAGACAGCGCAGCATAAAGCGGCACTTTACTCAACCGTCATAGGCACGTGAGCCGTTAGCCTTTTTTTTTTAAATGACGGAGCATGAACCTCCCTAGGAGCTGGCGTCATCTATACGTGACTCATTGAGCCCGTTAAACCGACGCGCGTCTTTTAACATCCTCTCGTCAGTGCACGTAAACCGCCTCTCCTGCCAACCCATCTGGAGCGTGCCTTTCATACCACCTTGAAGCGCGTCTACCAAGTTCCTAACCCCAGCACTTCTTCTTTTAAATGGGAGCGTGAACTGCACTTCCTCTACTCCACGCGCCCCTCTCTCCCCCAGTGAAACTACCCATTGATCGGATTCGTCGAGTTATTTCTACGCTATTCTTTGCCCTTCTCTCTCTCTGAAACGAAGCTCTTGGCGCCTATCACTCCCTCTCTTTCCATCCCTCGATTTCGTCGCCAATTCTTCGGATTCGTGGCCAGAACAAAACCCTAATTTCTCTTGCCATCTCTCCCAATTTCATATTTTTTAGCTCTTTTAATTTCAAATTTTCGCTCTTCATTTCCCAAACGTTTCCCTGGTACGTCCGTCGCTTTATCTTTCCGTTTCCCCGTCGAATTTTCGTGCCTCATTTATTTTATCTTACAGCTTTTGATTTTCTTCTCAAGAGAAGAAAAGAATATCGGAAGATTCATTTCTACTCTTTCAGCTTTGAGGAGACTTTTTCTTTTTTTAAAAAAAAATTTAATTTTATATTACTATTTCTACTTCCTTTTTTGTCTTTTATTTTCAAAATTAAATATGAAATTGATAATTGTAGATCTTAGATGGATAAAGTCTGAAGTCCCATGTGGGTAAAATCGTAGGTTCATGTTCTGCTCTTATTATTTAATCAGCAAATTCACTGTATTATCGCGTGTATCTATTGCTAAAGTACGTTGTTTTTATTCTTTAAATCTATCTATATAATTAAAGCTATTGACTTTGGATGTTTTGTTATCAGATGCATCTTGGTATCTCCAACTAACAACCCATTATCTCGATCTAGATTTCGGCAACTTTTACATACAGGTGAGGGGCTTTTCAAGTTCATCCTTTTAAATTATCAATTATGACGTTATATTTGGGTTTTTTGCGATGTTCAATTTCAACTCTGAAATGGGTTTTCTTTTTTTATTGATTTTTTTGGTTTTAGTTGTATGTTTGGTATTTTAGATGATCTAATTCACTTGTATAATGAAGCATGGATGTGAATTGTGTTAACGATAAGGGTACATGACTGGGTTTTTCATTACGCTTTCGGTTGAGGAAGCTTGAATTTCGTTTTGCAATTACGGTGAGGACAGGGAGGTTTTTTATATTCTGATGGTTTATGAATAACTTGTTTGGTACTACACCCTTCTGGATTTTGATTCTTGAATGAAAAGATTTTATAAACATTTCAATGTTAGAAAATGGCATATCAGTGCAATGGAGAAGAGGATAAGGGCATAACGTAGGTGAATGTTTCTGACAGATTTGGTCATAGTTTGCTCTTAAATGGCATTGTGAGATTAGAAGAGGACTAGTTGTTTTATCTTCTCTGGGTCATGCAGCATGAAGTTCTTAGTGGTAACAGCTGTGAAATATCATAGGTTGTCTTTAATTATCAGTTTCTGTTATCAGTTTAACACCCAAGTAGTTGCAAGTAAGGCAGCACTTTGATTGGGACTAAGATGTGCATACCAGCTTCGATGTTAATTTAG